CCCCAAAACCCCAAAACCCCAAAACCCCGAGGTATAGATTTAAAATTGTGAGCGAAGAGAAATATATTAAATAAACATAGTATGGAAGGAATCAAGATGAAATATAGAAACAAAGTCAGGTCTAAAGCTGCTAATGTACGTCAAGTGGGGAAAACAGGGCTAGTGAGGGGCTTCGGCCTTTTTAGAGCTGAACTGGAGCTAACTTATGTATAGAAGAATGAAAATCAGCTTAAAAACTCATATTTAAATGTAACTATTGAATCTAATAGTACAATTTATATCAAAAAGTTCGAGTTTGAATTATTTAATGAGACATTGTTTTTAGAAATGCTTCATCGATTGGGTCTCAAATGATTTTACAAATCACGCTACTTATTTAGTATTTAGATAAATCAATTGTTCATCTTGCCTGAACCATTTCTAGAGATTCTATACAATTGAGTTTTTCTAAACTAGCTATTTAGGTGAAACTAAATATTACAAATAAATTATTCAAAACAAAATGAAAAAGGAGATTCATAAGTCCAAGCCCAATGAGTAAATCATTCTTTTGAAGAAGGAATCAGACATCAAGAGTACCCAAGAAACAGCAAGCTAAGTAAGTCTTAGTTCTTTTGATTATTTTTAATTTTACTCTCTGAAATCGAATTTTCTAATCTTTTATCTAGCACAAAGGAAAATTCATTAAGAGCTATCAAGAGGAATATTCGGAAAATTAAAAACACTCCAAGACTTACAGCCAAGAGTCCTGTTCCAAAGCATAATCTCAGAGTTACTTTACCACAAGACGAAGAATATGAGCGGGAAGAAATGAGATATGTAGCCATTATCAAAAAGGCTAATAGAGCACTAGATAGAAGTCCGAGAGGGTTTCACTCTCCATGATTGCTTAAGAAGTTCCTGTCAACTTGGAAATCCATGAAGAGTCAGGATAGTCAAGGTAATACCATCTAGATTCTTCTTAAGACTGTTTGCTATTTTAAAGATTCTCCCTTCACTGTTATTAGAAATACCTAAAACCCTTTCTAGCTCAAAGAAGTAAGAACTGTTTGTCTCCAGAGCAAAGGATCATCTTCAATTCCAGTGATGGAAGCCAAGATTTTGAAGACAATGAGCCCCAGAGCTTCAGCTTAGGAAAGAACTGGATTACTTTCTCGGCCTGAAAAGACTCTTATAAGCCTAAAGTGTTATAACACCCCTTTCGACATACCTTAATGAGGTTTATTTTCTGTAATTAGGTTTACTAGGTATAAAATATGGAAAAGTGGTAGCAAACTATAATATTCAAGGTTTTTACCTTATTTTCCGGAAATCATTTTCCCATATATTCCTACTGCACCCCTCTCTTTTGTAGCTGGGAATAATTAGAGAGTGTATATGTTAGTAAGTCTTTGCTTAGTCGTTATTCCCATCATAAGTGAATGATTACTCCATTAGGGATTTTTATATTTGGTGAAATAGAATTTTTCGCCAAAAATGCCCAAATCCCAGTGACCTTGGGTTGAAAATTCAGACTTGAGTTAGATTATCCATAGGTATTGAGATGCAAGATTTACTTAAGAACTCTCAAGAAAGAGCATTAGACATATTTGAAGCTGTCAGACTCCCCAAGGCTGTTGTCCTTTTATTAATGATGCCTGTATTATTTCCGAAGGGAGCTGCAAATTATTCCGCTAAATTTATAGAATTCTTATCAATTTTTTATGATTTCTTAAAATATTGCTTCTTCTCAGATACAATATTGCATGATCTCCAAATAGTGTATAAAGAGCCCATGGAGTTAATACTGAATAACAAAATTCTTCTAGTGTGTGCTCAAAGCAGATTATGGTATCCCTTAGATTGCTTGATAGGTCACAAAGAGCCAAGCTGGGCTTCCGAGCTGGCTTGTCATCTCTAATGGGTTTGAATCAGAATTTCATATTTTTAGTAATACCTTATTAAGTTGCTGTTCAATGAAATTAAGGTAGTGGGGTTTTGGGGTTTTGGGGTTTTGGGG